TGTACACACCCCTGAGATCCTACGATTCAGGGTGTAATTAAAACCATTTTCATTCATTCATTCATAAATAAAACTTCAGTTGCAGCTCCTCTGGTCTTTTGCAAACACTCTTTAAAAGGGTTTCCCCACAATAACAACTTAATGCTTCTGCTTCTGGATTTTAGCAAAGGATACAATATGCCCAGGCTTTCTTTCTCTGCAAAGAAAGACTTTTTCCCCTCTGGTTTCTAAATTTAGGCAGGCAAGCTCAGCAACACTTCAGGGCTCTGTGGCAGATCTGCTTAGTTTCCATGGCACCCGTAGTGGCCTTCATTGGTCTTTGTCTCCAGCAGGTCTCATCCTACACAGTAAGGTGTTGCACTTTGGGGGTGTTTATTCCATCCCCCCCCCCCCCCCCCCAATATCATTCATTCAAAGGCTTAAAAGTGAGGGCTCTTCTATGTGCAGCAACATGGTGCAAAGTGGTTTTTCAACACGTTTGACGAATGTTATCTCTCTACTTGAGAACACCTCCTGGCCTTATCAGTCTTGGAGGCTGTGTCACCAGGACTTCACAACAGCACCTTCTCACTCCTGCACTGGATTTCTACTGCTGGGTGCCTGAGGCGCTCTATGGGAGTAGCTGGTGGTCTCTATATTCATAGTGTGACATATCTATTCTGAATATATAAAGAGATCTTGTAGCAGCTTTGAGACCAACTGAAAGAAAAGAGCAGCGTAAGCTTTCGTAGATTTTAGTCTACAATACTTAGATGCATTTGGAAATAGACTGATACCTATGAAAGCTCATGCTGCCAACTTCTTTCTTTGTTAGTCTCAAAGGTGCTACAGCATCTCTTTACTTATTGATTTTATAGACTAACATGACTGTATCTTGTATCCATTCTGAGTTTCAGTCGGAAGTTTAAAGGAGCTGCCCAAGGCGCCAAGCCCTGTCTCCAGAGAAGGTTCAGGATCTTCCTTTGAAGTTCAGACTGCATCCTGGAGCAGATTCACAATTTCAGTAACAGAGGAACCCTCATCCATCAATGGTGCTTGACTGTGGTGGGAGATGTCTACCCTGGGTGCAGGAAATAAGGGACTGTATTGTTGTCAGTGATCATAGAATGATAAAGTTAGAAGAGACCAAAAGGGCTATCCAGTCCAACCCCCTGCCATGCAGGAACTCCCAATCAAAGCACTCCCAACTGGTGGCCATCCAGCCTCTGTTTAAAAACCTCCAAAGAAGGAGACTCCACCATTCTCCGAGGCAGTATATTCCACTGTTGAACAGCTCTTAGTGTCAGGAAGTTCTTCCTAATGTTTAAATGGAATCTCTTTTCCAGTAGCTTGAATCCATTGCTCTGTGTCCTAGTCTAGTCCTAGTCCTAGAAGAAATAATAGTCATCATCATCATCATTATCAAGGTAGGGTTTATGGGAGTTGTGGTCCAGCACAAGTTTGAGGACACCAAATTGGGGAAGAATTGGCCTTGCAGTTGATGGGATATGGTCTATGTTTCCAGTTATTTCCTAGAGACAAAAGGGACAAAGGCTCTGTTGACAGACTTGGTGGTGGCTTGACTGGCAAAGATGGCACTGTGCACAGCCAGCCCTTTCAATGCTAAACTGGCTATAAATAACCAATATAGAAAGCAACATTTGAAGGGTCAACAGAGAAAGCAGGGATCAATGCAAACCTTGGCCAGCTCAACTTTGCCATTGCTGGGTGCTCTTTTAAAAAATCAATCAAAGAAAGATTGCAAAATGCTACCATTTATTTCTTCTCAAGGTTGCTGCCATTAAAGCTTTTAAAGCTCTTAGGAGGCTCCACTTTAGCTATATAAACTGCTCTTCATCCATTATTCATTAGTGCTGATGGAGGAGAATAAGCCCCAGTGGAGCAGTAAGTGGGGTGATCAGAGCAAGCCATCGAAAAAAGCATAAAATTCTTAGACTGAGGGACAAATGGAATAGATGGTCATCTATGCCTTCTCCATCTTCTGTTACTGGGGTTATTGGGGTTCACTCTACAACTCACCAAACCATTGTTTCAAGATTTAGCTGTGACAAATAATGTGTGGCATATTTTTCCTCCAGCAGTCCCTAAATATCGCTCCCTGGAAACCTCTAGAGACCCTCACAGATGTTACAGAAGCCCTCCATCTGAATGATCAATGCTCAGGGACACTGGAAGTTGTAGTTCAATAATAAAGGATGCATCTACACTAGAAATAATGCAGTTTGACACCACTTTAAGTGCTGTGGCTCCATCCTATGGAATGAATTTTGTAGTTTTACAGGGCTCACCTGGAATACTATGTCTAGATCTGGGCATCACAAATAAAAAAAGATGTTGAGAAGCTGGAGCGTGTCCAGAGGAGGGTGACCAAAATGGTGAAGGGTCTGGAAACCATGCCCTATGAGGAGCAACTTAGGGAGCTGGGTATGTTTAGCTTGGAGAAGAGAAAATTAAGAGGTGAATTGGTAGAGGTGATAAATATTTGAAGGGATGTCATATTGAGGATTGTTAGTGGGCGTCCTCCATTTTTCTTATATATTTTAGCCATGTGGAGTTCCCTATGATCCCAGCCTGACCCTTGGGAGATGGCAGCCATAATCCCCTAAATGTAAGGTCAGATAAAGAAGCTGAAATTGCTCAAGACCACTAAAGATTTCCTGGACAGGCAGGTTTTGGGAGTTGCCCTTAGGAATATCCCATTATACTGCAAAAGATACACAATGGTATTTGTTTGTCTTAGTCTCACACTTAATGGGACAGTGATCAGATTTGATTGCACCCCTTTCTCTAGTTTCCTTTCCTTGATAGTTTTGAAACCAAATGCATTGTTTAGACTATGCCCAGACTTAGGTAAACAATAGTAAACCCATCAAGCTTTTGTCCACCTATTGTTTGACTCATGGCCAGAAGGCAGAAATTCCCTATAAGAATCCTTGGATTTTAGCAGACCTCGTGCTACCTTGGAAGTGCATGCTGAATCTCTGTTGGTCTGCACTCTGAGATAGTTCCCACGACCCCCTCCAGAAGCCCAGAGGAGTCTTTAGGGCGTGAGTATATCCCCCTCTATCCTGGTCTCCCTCTCTGCCTCCCTGCTTTCGCTCTTTCCCACTTATTCTTTTAGTGTGTGTGTGTGTGCCACATTTGGATGTTTGCTATTTTTGTCAAATAAATATTTTCAGACTTTAATTGGAGTTTGGTCCGTTTCAGTGTCATTCCTTGCCAGAACTCTTACATCTCTGGTATACAATTTGATAAGATCTCCAAAGTGAAGTTGGGAGCTTCACTCTCACATTTCAGCTAATTATAAATTCCCCAAAATTAGACTTGTGTTTCCCAATAGGATGAAGCAAGTTTATTTTCTGCTGCTGCAGAAAACAGGACCCAAAGAAATAGATTCAAACTATAGGAAAAGAGATTCCACCTCAACATTAGGAAGAATGTTCGACAGTGGAGCACACTCCCTCGGAGAGTGGTGGAGTCTCTTCTTTGGAGATTTTTAAACAAAAGCTGGATGGCCATCTGTCAGGGGTACTTTGATTCTGCGTTCCTACATGGCAAAAGGAAACCATGGGTGGCCCTTGAGGTCTCTTCCAACTCTGTGATTCTATGTTTCTAATAATGTTGTGCATGAAACAAACTTTGCATTCATTAAACCACCAGAAAGCAAAGATGTTACTGTCTCAGCTACCCATGAAAAAAGCTGTGGTTTTTGGAAGATTTCAGAATTCCACATACAAGAGACTCATCCTGTATAAGAATTCTGCCTCCATATGAAAACTTCCCTTCAGTCTGCAAATTTCTAACATTGCAGTAACTTAAAACCTCAGTCGAGCATTTAGAAATAGAGATTAGGCATCCCCCCAAAAAAGGGTGGGCAGGTGAAGTTACCAAGGGAATGCAAACAGAGGAAATAGATGAGTTCTAAGCATGAACGATTCACCCTCGACAATGCTAAAAATCTGGGGACTAAAGAAAACGTCACGGGGGAAGAAAAGCTACAGCCCCCGTGGTTTCATTCTGTGCACCTGAGGCTGTGTGTCCAGTAAGTTCATCCCATTGTGAGTTGATCTTAAAGGTGTGAACAGATTGTTTGTTACAGTGATCTTTCATATCCCTGCTAAATAACACGTCTCACACAGTTTAAAAACCTTCCTAGTTTACGCTACTCTATGTTTTTTGGAAGTCAGTGTGAATTTTCTGAATTGCATTATCTAGTGAAAGATTTAAGGCTCCATTTCGATACTGATTTTAACAGCAAAAACTTCAATAAATCAGGCAGACACACACAGACAATCCTATGTTGCTAGGATACTTGAACTCAGCAAAGAATTTTAAAAGATAAGTGGATGGCTCCCTACATTTTGCTTCCAACTCTTGTAAAGCTTTTTCTTTTTAACTGTCTGGCTAAGAAGCAGCACTTTGGAAATGACAAGCAGATAGCAAACAGGTGGGGGAGAGACAGGGATTTCTTTGTAAGGAAAAAGGATAAGCCAGGGCACCTTCTTTGGGAAGAAAGGCTATAGAAACCTTCCCTAACTGAGCATTCTCTAAAGGTGCCTGGACTACAGCCCCTATCATCCCCAGGTGAGTAGGAGCTGCACTGCACCATCCTTGGTTGGGGTCCAGTGGGAAAAGCTGAACCAAAGTGTTTGAGTTGATAGCCAAGGGTCAAATCAGGCATGACGTCGTGTATGTTCATATCAGGTAGCTAGCTCTGACTTAAATGAATAACTGCTGCAGGACTGACATAGGCTGCTTCATATTGCCTAATGATAGGGCTGGTCCTAGTCATAAGAAAAACCATTTGAAATTTAATAAGAGCAGGAAATTAATGAAAGGGAGATGATTTGAACTTGCAAGACACCTAGGATGCATTTCTACCATTGTTATTGTTGTGTGCCTTCCAGTCATTTCTTTTTTTTACTTATGGAGACCCTAATGCAAAGCTATCATGGGATTTTCTTGAGCTGAAAGTATGTGACTTGTTCAATGGGTTTCCATGGCTGAGCAGGGAATCAAACCCTGGTCTCCAGGGCCGTAGTCCAATGCTCAAACCACTACACCACACTGACTCCACCAAATATTTCTGCAAAAAAAAAAAAAAAAAGCCTAAGAAGGCAACCTCAACAACTCACAATTGGCATTGGCATTTCAAGGAAACATGAAGTATTACACATTGCTGAATTAAGAAATTACGGCCACAGTCCTGTTAAACACTGGAGGAGTGTAAAGTTTTGCTGGTCTACTTACTCAAATATTTAGAGGGATGGAGCAATTTTTGCAATTGCTGTTTCCGTCATGGAAGTGGGGTAGGCAAAGCTGTGTTCACACGCAATTGTGTTGCAGGCAAATGGAGAACCGCTTGTGTAAAGGGGAATTGGTTATCCAGTCCATAGACAAATGTGTAATCTTTACTAGGTATCCACTACCCTTGTACACTGAAAAGAGTGTAACTGTCAGCGTAACCAGTTATGCATTCACACTACATCATTATAGTGTTTTATACCATTTCCATGGTTCCATCCTACAGAATCTTGGGATTTGGGTACACTTAGAATTGTCTGCCAAAGAGTCCTAATGCTGTTGTGCAGGGAATTGTGACCTAGAGAATTCTAAGTCCCTTGCCAAACTACAAATCCCAGGATTCCATAGTACTGAGTCAGTATTGGTAGTTAAAGTGGAATCAAACTTTTATAGTTGGGCACTATAGATATACAACAGGATAGCAGGATTCTAGCATACATGTCTGCCTTTGAAGAGGCATGAATTAGAATAGCATAAGTAGCTCTGTGTGTGTGTGTGTGTGTGTGTGTGTGTGTGTGTGTGTAGTGTGTAGTATGCCTTCAAGTCATTTCTGACTTATGGTGACCCTAAGTCGACCCTATCATGGGGTTTTCTTGGCAAGCTTCTGCAGAGGGGGTTTGCCATTGCCTTCCCCTGAGGCTGAGAGTATGTGACTTGCCCAAGATCACCCAGTGGGTTTCTATGGCTGAGCCGGAATTCCTGTTCTGCAGAGTCCTAGTCCAATGCTCAAACTACTACACCATACTAGCTCACATACCTAAGTGTAATCCTGGACTCAAAGAGACAGCATTCTTGAAGCAACACCAAAGAATGGTTGTCCTCTGTGTTAGGGTACAAGTTGCCTCAAACAATCTAAAATTTCTTCTGACCTCTCCAAGTGTCAGAAAATAACACAGCCATGCAAGGTTCGGGGCTCCTATCTGCACACAATGCAGCGTCTGGATTTACTTTTCCGGACATCCAGGAAATAGCTGGTTGCTATGAATGTCTAAAAACAACAACAAACGCAAAATCTTTTATCGACAATCAGCTCTGCTGAACATTAAACAACCCTTTCATTTTGCCTCGTGGCCCATCATTCCAAAGGCACTCTGCAAAAGGAAAACCTTTTATTATTATTTTAAAAAAAACCCGAATATTGTTTCGATGCTTATGAAAAACAGCTAAATAAAAATAGCTGACAAGACGTTGGGGGATACGGCGACAATTCAGATGATGGTGTTCGGGGCGGGGGGAGTGTTGTTCCAGCCATGAAGAATGTTAGGCCAAGTTAACAATGGACACAGTTTACACCAAGTTGTATGATCTGCTGCCAAGATCAGCCAGTAGAAAGGAACTGGAAAGCAACCCTGAGGAGTGTGGTGGTAAAGATATACCCCACAGCATATCCTACCCTCTGTCTAAGTCTGCCTCGGAGCCGGGTGTGAAATATTTAAGCTATTGTAAGTTAAACGTTTAAAAGAAACCTAGGAAGGAACAGAGGGAGGAAAGAACCATCCCTTCACCAACCTGAGAAGCTTGAACTGTGCTTATTTTTGTCCTTTGGGAAGAAAGTACTTAACAGATTTGATATCATATTATGTATACAAAGCCTGTGCTTGACAAGAAAAAGGCTCTGCAGAGAGCAAAGTGAGGTCCAGAATTAGAATAATAGAATCTTAGAATTGGAAGGAACTACAAGATGCATCTAATTCAAGCCCCTGCCATGCAGGGATATGCAACTACAATGGGCCCTCTATGTTTGCTGGCGTTAGGGACTCAAGACCTCTGTGAAATTGGGGAAACTGCAAATTTTTTTTTTTTTTTTAAAAATTACTCTTCTTTACTTAAGAGAAGGAGCCCTGGTGGCACAGTGGTTAAATGCCGATATTTTGTTGAACATGAGTCAACAGAGTGATGCCTCAGCTAAAAAGGCCAATGC